TTGTAAAGAAATTAAAAAGGTATTTAGGATGGTTACAATATGATACAAAGGTATGCTATACTTATTCATTGTATTAATAATATCTTTATTACTTGAGCCATATTTACAATATCTATACCATATTTTATATTTTTAGATTTTCAATGTTGGAAATTTACGCCGTAACATTACACAACAACTTACCAATGGAACTTCTCATTCACATGAATTTTTTGATCCATCCAACAAAAATGCAAAGGAAACCAGAGAAAAATTAGCAATGGAATCCTTGGATGAGTTGATTGGTTGGTTGAAAAAAGGCGGAAGAGTTGGTATTCATGGTAAAAAAAAAATAATACTTGTCAATTAATTGAGATATTTGCAAGGATTTGTAATTTGGTGACTAATTAATTAATAGTTTATTTTAATATATATCCGATACATAGATGCTACTAATTCAACAAAATCTAGAAGGTTGGTATAACATAATATTGATATTAACACCAATATATCTATATATGATTTACAATTTATGTGTAAGCAGAAAGAACATATTAGAAAGATGTCAACGTGAAAATAACTTTAAGGTTTTATTTATAGAATCAATATGTGACATCAAAAAAGTAATCTATTATTATTATTGTCATTCTAAAAGAAGAAGAACAAGTAAGAAATTAATTAGCAACAATCATTATCATTCAAATTTTAGGTATTAGATGCAAATATGAGATTGAAATTATCAGGACCAGATTATAAAAATATGAATCCAGATGAAGCATTGGCAGATTTTCGTAAACGTGTTGAAAATTATGAAAAGGCATATGAAACAATCGGTGAAGAAGAAGAACAAAGTAATATACAATATTGTAAATTAATTAATTTTGGAAGAAAAGTAAGAACTGCCAATTTTGGACAATTTTTTGTTAAAAATCATTAATAAGTCATTAATTGATTAATTAATTTAGGTGATAGCAAATAATATTCAAGGATATTTGAGTGGTCAATGTATCTTTTATTTGATGAATTTTAACCTTGAAAGTATGTTATTTTAATTTATATAAATATCACTAGGTATATGTGCTAATGTTACATATTATATATTATAATAAATAGGTAGACAGATTTGGCTTACAAGACATGGTGAAAGTGTTCATAATATTGAAAAGAAAATAGGTGGCGATCCAACAGTAAGCATACAATAAATAATATTATCATTATTAATATATAGTTAATAACATTAATAATATTATAAATATATTTATATCATTAGAATAATTTCAAGTTGGATCGACAAGAAAGATCAATATTTTTATAACAACACCAA